CCTGGGCGCCGTCTCCGCCCCCGCCCCCGGAGTGGATGTCCGCCGACCCCCGGACTCGCAGCCCGGCGGGACCCAGCTGGGATTCGAACCCGGGTCTCCGGTCGCGAGGAGCTTGGAAAAACTGAGGCCGCTCTGCCCCGGGGCGCGCAACGGAAACGCTGGCTAGCGAGCAAACATCTGCGGAGGGGGGCAGGCTGTGGGTGGAGAGAGGCCCGGAGAGCTGGGGTTCAGCCCAGGCCCGGCCTCTGGGATCCTCGCTGGAAAGCTGAGAGGCCGAGGCAGAGCCGCGGACTCCACGGAACCAGCTTCGCACTGCAGCCCAGCCATGCAGGGCTGTGTGGCCTCAGGCAGCTGCCCAACCTCTCTGTGCCTGGTGTGTCGTCCGGGCCAAGGCCCGGAGGTGGAAGCACCGAAAGGGAAATCCAGCTTAGGCTCTGCCCGGGCGGGCACAGATGAGGGCGCAGGAAGTGGCCGCGGCCGTGCGCTGGCCTGTTCTGGCCCTCCGTGGGTTCCGCATCAGATGTTGGCTCCAAGGTCCCGGGGCTCCCTCGGCCAGGGAGGGCTGCGCAGGCAGTTGGCACTCAACAGATGCTCCAGAGGTGAATGGGTGAAGCCCCGCTGTCCTTGGAGACCCCAGCTGAGCTGTGTGTTCAAGGCCTGGCCTGCACCCAGCTCAAATGCGACAACAACGCGGTGGGGTGCGGGGAGGGGGTGAGGACCCAGGCGACGCCAGCCGAGAGGATGTGGCAACAGACGGTGTGCACATGTGCCGCGGGGAAGGGCGGCAGGAAGTCGCACGGGAACCTGCAGTTTTCACTTTGCTTCAGCACCTCGGGCCAGGGGAGGGCAGTTCCCCGCGGCTGGACATGCCTGTCATCCCAGCACTTGGGAGGCTGAGGCAGGAGGATTGCTGGGAGTTTGAGGCAGCCTGGGCTACACAGCAAGACCCCCGTCTCAAAAACAACAGCAATAATAAAGAAAAAACAGTCGCTGGGGCTGTCGGCGTTAGTGGCCTCAGTTTCCCAACTTGGAAATGGGTGTGGCTGGCCTCCCACCCCGTGGGGGCTTGTGGGGGTGTGTGGGTGCCACTGCAGAGGCATGGCCTGAGCCCCTTCCCCTCCCTCCCAGGGCACTGCCCTGTCTCTCCCCCATCCTTTCAGGCGCATGTGTAGGGAACCTGAGGTTCAGAGAGACCCCATGTGGAGCTGTGGACAGGCCGGCCGTCCCCTCCCTGCCGCAGTCTCCTGCGCTGTTTCCTGTTAGTGCCGTCCCCTCTCTGTCGCCCGAGGCCCAGGGCCGACTCCCTGCCTGCGCGTGCTCGGGAGCTGCGTTGGCGGCCGCGGGGGCTGCAGCGCCTGTCAGGCTGAGGCAGCCGTTGCCGAGCGACTGCTTGGGGGGACGTGTAGCTCCCGACGTCCCTCCGCCGCGGAGGGGGCTGGGCCGGGGCCCTGGTGGGTGGCGCAGGCTCACGAGGTGCAGAAGAGGCCAGGGGCCTGGAAGCCAGAAGGGAGGTGGGGGGTACAGGGCGAAAGTCAGGCAGGGACAGACCCGAGGCTGGCGGGAAACAGGTTGAAGGGGGGTTGGGGTGCAGATCCAGAAGGCAGGGGCAGTGCCTGGGGCAGTGGGCTTACAGAAGGATGTGGTTCTATTCAGCCTCTGTTGGTTTTTGGTTTTTCTTTTTGGTTTTGTTTTTTTGAGACAGGATATCGCTATGTAACCCAGGCTGGCCTCAAACTTGCTGTGACCCTCCTGCCTCAGCCTCCCCAGTGCTGGGATGACAGGCAGCACCAGCACACATGGCTTCTGCCTGTCTCTGGCGGGGGTTGCAGAGCTGTGAACATGAAGCCGGCCCAGGGGCTCCTGGCCACACGCAGCCGTCACCATGAGGCCGGAGGGGCTTCTGCCGTTAACAGTGGCAGCGGTATTCATAGCAAGTGACATTTGGCCAGTGGTCACTCCTTGCAGGGCCTGGATGCTGAGGGACTCGGGGTGGGGCCGTAGTGGGGGAAGCTCACCCACTCAGGCCGAGCACGGGACCTTTGGAGCTGCAGGCCCCGGCCACCCATCTGACCTTGCGTCCGCACCCCATCCACAGCTGCCGCAGCGGGAACCGCAAAAGCTTGGTGGTGGGGACGCCGTCCCCGACCCTCTCCCGGCCCCTGTCGCCGCTGTCCATCCCCACCGGTGAGTATGGGGGCAGCGGACAGGCGCGCGGGCCTTTCTCGGCCTCTGCTGACTCAGGGTCCCCGCCCGCCCTCAGCAGGCAGCAGCCCCTTGGACAGCCCGCGGAACTTCTCCGCTGCATCCGCTGTGAACTTCCCCTTCGCCCGCAGGTGAGTGGCTGCAGGAGGCTGGGGGGACAGGGCTGGGGCCCCTTGGCGGGACCGCCTCTCATCCGCCTCTGCCTCCCCTGCCCCGCCTGGTGGCGGCCTCCCCTCCGCGCCCCGCAGCCACGTCCCACGCAGCGACAGGTAATGGCCGAGCGTTCGTAACACTAACCGGTCACTAATTCCCTCGCCCAGAGCCGACTCGCCTTGCTAACTCAGCTGCATTTACTGAGCGCCTGCCGTGGGTGGGCCCCGTGCCGGGGGCTGTGAACCAGAGGCTGGGGAGCCCTCAGTCCGGCGGGGTGGCCGGTGTGTCCCCAACAGCTGCGAGTGGAGGTCACAGCTTGATGGGGCCGCGCTGCCTGCTGGGTAACAGTGGGCTTCCTGGAGGACGTGTCCAGAGGCCCTGGAGCACCGTTTCAGCGGGGCCAGAACCTGCCGGCCACGGCCTCTGGCCTGGTCCCCAGGGCCCCAGGGCCGGCCCTGCCACCCCCGCTCTGTCCCTATTGCAGGGCTGACGGCAGAAGATGGTCCCTCGCGTCCCTCCCGTCTTCCGGCTATGGAACCAACACGCCCAGCTCCACCGTCTCGGTACCCATGGCCCCACCTGGTCGGGCGTGGGGTGGCGAGGACACATCTTGGGGTGTTTCCCAGGGGTCGGATAGTTGTCCGGTTATCAGACATTCTGGCTACCAACTCCATGCCCCATACTCCATGGGCTGTCGGGTGCCGCTGGGAAGCTCAGCCTTGGCCCCAGGAATCAAATCCCCAGTCTGGAGGACACAGATGTCCCTAAACTGTGAGGTTGGGATCAGGCCAGAGGGACATGTGGGACTCCAGGCAGGGCTTGCTGGAGGAGGGGGCATTGGAGGTGGGGTTTTGAGGGCTGCCTAGGAGGTAGGCAGGAGAATAAGACGGACAGTCCTGCATCCTGGCTGTGGCCCTGACCCCCACCTCCCGCAGTCAAGCTCATCCTCCCGGGAGCGTCTCCATCAGCTTCCCTTCCAGCCGACGCCGGACGAGCTGCGCTTCCTGTCCAAGCATTTCCGCAGCTCCGAGAGCGTGGTGGACGAGGAGGGTGGCCGCTCGCCCCGCCTGCGCCCTCGTTCCCGCAGCCTCAGGTTGGCCCGGACCCCTGTCCTTTCCTGCGCTAGCGGTCTACCTGTCCGCCCCTGCACCACCTCTGGCCCCCAGCCTTAGCTGAGGGGCCGCCAGCCCCTGCCCCAGATCGGTTCTTGGACCCGTCTCACGCCGGCCGCCTGTCCCCTTGCAGCCCGGGCCGCGCCACCGGCAGCTTCGATAATGAGATTGTGATGATGAACCACGTGTACCGGGAGCGGTTCCCCAAGGTGCGCGCTGCTTCCCCGCCCTCGCGCCGTCCTCCCGGCCCAGGCCCGCGTCCCCGCTGTCCCCGGGGCCGTGCTCTGAGCTGCTGCCCCCTGTCACCGTCCAGGCTACCGCCCAGATGGAGGGCCGGCTGCAGGAATTCCTGGCCGCCTACGCGCCCGGCGCCCGGCTGGCTCTGGCCGACGGCGTCCTGGGCTTCATCCATCACCAGATCGTGGAGCTGGCCCGGGACTGCCTGGCCAAGTCCGGAGAGGCGCTGGTCACCTCCCGCTACTTCCTGGAGATGCAGGAGAAGCTGGAGCGGCTGCTGCACGACGTGGGTGGGGGCGGGGCTGGGTGGGCGGTGTGGAGGGGTCTTGGTGGGCGAGGCCAAGGGCTGGGGTGGACTGGCCCTGGCTAGGGCACGGCAGGAGGGCCCTGGCTGGTGTGGCTGGGGCGTGGCCAGACGTGGGAGGTAGGATGCTGCGTTAGGGTTGGGTGGGCCCAGCGGTGGGTGTGGCCAGAAGGTGTGCTTGGTGGGCGTGGCCTGATGCGTCACCACGCCCCCTGCCAGGCTCACGAGCGGTCGGACAGCGAGGAAGTTGGCTTCATCGTCCAGCTGGTCCGGAAGCTGCTGATCATCATCTCGCGGCCGGCTCGGCTCCTCGAGTGCCTGGTGAGCCCTGTGACTGGGCTTAGCTGGACCCGCTGCCCAGGAGGCGGTGGCCATCGGGCAGAGCCTTAGACGGGCACACAGCGGGGCACACGTAGCAGTAGGCCCTGTGTGACCGGCTGCCCCTGCGCCCCCAGGAGTTCGACCCTGAGGAGTTCTACCACCTGCTGGAGGCCGCCGAGGGCCAGGCGCGCGAGGGCCAGGGCATCAAGACCGACCTGCCGCAGTACATCATCGGGCAGCTGGGCCTGGCCAAGGACCCGCTGGAGGGTGAGCGGGAGGAGCCGGGTGGAAAACAGCAGGGGCAGCACGCGCAAACCCGGGCGGGCAGAGCAGAAGCAGTGACGGGGGGGGCCGGAGGGGGCGCAGGCTTTGTCCAGCGCGACGCAGTCGGGTGCTGGCAGTAGCAGGCCCACTGGGCACCCGTGCTATGTGAAGCTTCTGGAAATTGCTGGGCGGTGGAGGGACACGGCGTGAAGGCTGCAGTCAACACTCCTGCCTCACTCACAGAGATTGAGCCTCTGAGTGACATTGACGGAGGACAGCCCCCTGCACCTGAGTCACCAGAGGTGAGTCCCGAGGGTCAGGTCCTCTTCTGTCTTACGCTTCCCCTTGTAAGCCAGGCAACCCCGGCAAGAGCGGGGACACGGGTGACTTTGGGGGAAAGTAGCAGTAAGCAGGGCTGCCTTGATGTGGAGGTCCGGCGGAGCCAGGCTGGGAAGGGCACTGAAAAGGTGGGATGTGTTTTGAGGGATGTGTAGGAGTTTGTTAGGAGGCAAGCACAGCATGAAAAATACTCAGAGACCTGGAGGCTGATTTGAGGAGTCTGGGTACGGAGGAAGTGGTGGTGGGCACCAGGACAGGCAGCATGGACTTGGGGACAGGAGGCGGCATCTAGCTGGTTCTGCAATGCGGCAGAACCCTGAGCCCTTCCTGTCCCCAGAACCGTGCCCTGGGCGGCCCGTCACGGAGAAAGCCGTGTGAGAGCGACTTTGAGACAATCAAGCTCATCAGCAATGGGGCCTACGGGTGAGTTCCCAGGGCCCTTGGGGTGGCTGAGGCCCAGGAGCCCTGCCGTCAACCCAGACCTCGTAGCCGGGCATGGCAGCGTGGGCCTGCAGTCCCAGCGGCACTTAGGAGGGGAGGCTGAGGCGGGAGGATCATCACGAGTTCAAGGCCAGCCTGAACTACACAGTGAGACCCTGTCTCAAAAAGACAAAAAAAACCCTTGTACCTTGTCAGTGAGACTTGCACGGTGGCCCTTGAGGTACACACAGGGAAACTGGGGGCTACAGAAAGAAGCAGAGATGCAGCACAGCCAGATGCCTGCCTGGGGTGGGTGCTTCCCCCAACCCATGCTTGGAGAGCCACACATGGGGAGCACCTCCCTTGTTCAAGGCCTCTGGATACAGGTGCAGGAAGTCATGTGGAAAAGGGACAGGAGGCATGGGAACCCCCAATGGGGAGGGCAGTGAAGAAAGGGCTTAATCATCTGTGTAGGAGTCTCTGCGTCATAGCTGCCAAAGCAGCAGTGGTCTAGGGGCTTTATTTCTTCAGGGTTTAGTTTATCTCCAGCTAGAAGCAAATTCACAAAAGTGCAGAGTGTCAGAGGCCCAAACTCTGTTTGCCCAGGCCATTTTCCCCACTCAGATGTGTAAACATTCAAGCTGGTTCCCAGTAGGCGGTGAGCAGAGGGTCCCAGCCCGGTGTGCAAGAATAAATGAACGGGGCTGCACACAGTGGCGCACACCCGTCAGCCCAGCTGCTTGGGAGGCTGAGGCAGGAGGATCAGAGTCGAGCCTACAGGGCAATTTAGTGAGACCCTGCCTCACAATAAGCAATACAGGGCCAGAGGTGTAGCTCAGTGGCACAGCGCCGGCCTGGCGAGTGCGAGGTCCTGAGTTCGATTCCCAGTACCTGCCCCCCACGCAAAAAATAAGCAGTACAGAGAGCCGGGGTGTGGCCAACGGTGAGCCCTTGCGGAGCAGGTGGGAGGCCCCGGGTTCCGTCCCCAGCACTGGACAAAAGAGCGCAGCCCGGCAGGCTGGGTTCGGGTCGCGCCGGGTTCCGGACCTCAGCGGCACCGCGCTCCCCCAGGGCTGTGTACCTGGTGCGGCACCGCGACACGCGGCAGCGCTTCGCCATCAAGAAGATCAACAAGCAGAACCTGATGCTGCGCAACCAGATCCAGCAGGTGTTTGTGGAGCGCGACATCCTCACCTTCGCGGAGAACCCCTTCGTGGTCAGCATGTTCTGCTCCTTCGAGACCCGCCGCCACCTGTGCATGGTCATGGAGTATGTGGAAGGTACTTGCCCGCCTGCCGCGGCGGGAGCCCCCTGCGCAGGCAGCGGGGCTGTGTGCTGAAGGGACGGCGCCCTAGCAGCCCTGCCAGCGCGGAGAAGCAGAGGCCGGCTCTGGCCGCCCTGTCCCGGGTAGACTAGGGAGGGACCCTGCCTGCGGTGGGCACGAGCCCAGCGCCACCGTCCACCCTCCCCAGGCGGCGACTGCGCCACCCTGCTGAAGCACATGGGCCCGCTGCCGGTGGACATGGCGCGCATGTACTTCGCGGAGACGGTGCTAGCCCTTGAGTACCTGCACAACTACGGCATCGTGCACCGCGACCTCAAGCCTGACAAGTGAGGGGTGGCGGGGTCCTGGGCGGGAGGCAGGGGGTGGGGCCTACGTTGGGTGGGTGTGGCGAGGGCGGGGCCACAGGGTGGGTTCTGGTGGGCGGGGCCAAAGGGTGGGTCCTTGTGGGTGGGGCCACAGAGTGTGGGCCCGGTTTGTGGGGGCAGGGCTGGGCGTAGGGGTGGAGTACAAGGCCTGGACTTGGCGTGGGGGGCGGGGCCTGCAGGGGTGGAGTCTAGAGTGGCTGTGGGTGGGTCATGGGGGCAGGGCCTGTGGTGTGGCCCGGGATTGGCTCTGGAGCCCCGCCTATCTGAACTGCGCTGTCATCCTAAGCCCCTCCAGCAGGAAGGTAGAGAATGTACCTATTCCGGAGGCTGAGGCAGGAGGATCACAAGTTCAGGGCTGCGCAACTTAGCAAGATCCTGGGTCAAAATAAAATTTTTATAAAGGGCTGGGGTGTAGCTCAGCCCTTTGCTTAGCATGGGCAATGCCCTGGTTCCACCCCAGTACCAGGAAAATAAATAGTCACAATTCTTACGTATTATGGCGACTGGTGCCAGGGCCCCCGCGGATGCCCCAGTGTGTGGATCCTCAAGTACGTTCTACAAAGTGGTGGAGTGTTTGCATAGCTCCCCAGGCCAACCTCATACGTGGGATCCTCCTGCCTCAGCCTCCTGAGTCACTGGGGCAGCAGGCCTAGCTGGTATAGCCAGCTCAGGGGTAAAGCGGGTTACAGGCACCTCCCCCGCCCTGAGTGTCCGCTCTGCCCGCACTGCAGCCTGCTCATCACCTCGCTGGGCCACATCAAGCTGACCGACTTCGGGCTGTCCAAGATCGGGCTCATGAGCATGGCCACCAACCTGTACGAGGGCCACATCGAGAAGGACGCCCACGAGTTTGTGGACAAGCAGGTGGGCGGCGGGCGGCCTGGGCGTGAGGCCCAACCCCGGGTGCTGGAACACAGGGAAAGTGGGGAGACAGCCGCCAGCTCTGGTGGCACACCTGTTGTCCTAATGTCTGGGAGGCTGAGGCAGGAGGGTTGCAAGTTCCAGATCAGCCCGGGTAGCTTAGCAGCTTAGCCAGACCCTGTCTCAGAAAAAGCAAAGAATAGAAAAATAGCAAATCAGCTTCTTCGTGTGATTCTCCCCATCCGTTCCCACCCCTCTGCTTTTCTGTCTCCAGCGGGGGCTGCCTCAGTTTCTCGTTCTGCCCTGCCAGGTGTGCGGGACCCCCGAGTACATCGCCCCCGAGGTGATCTTCCGCCAGGGCTACGGGAAGCCGGTGGACTGGTGGGCCATGGGCGTCATCCTGTATGAGTTCCTGGTGGGCTGCGTGCCCTTCTTCGGGGACACGCCGGAGGAGCTGTTCGGGCAGGTGGTCAGCGGTGCGTGCCCCGAGCAGCCCCGGGTTCGAGTCCCAGCGCTGCCAGTGTGGGGAAGGGTCACCTGCACTGTGTCCTGGGGACACGTCCTGGGCTGAGGGGACGCCCACCTGCACCCCGCCTCATTTCAGATGAGATCATGTGGCCGGATGGGGACGAGGCGCTTCCCGCGGACGCCCAGGACCTCATCACCAGGCTGCTTAGGCAGAGCCCGATGGACCGACTGGGCACTGGTATGTAGGTGCCCTCACAGCCTAGGGCTCAGGGCATAAAGAGAGGGAGAGAACACAGGGTTAAAAAAAAAAAAAAAAAAAGCTGTTCTTCAGAAGGTGCGTGGAGGAGGGGGCTTGGAAGTCAGGTTTTAAAGGATGTATAGGAGTTTGGCAGAAACTAGAAACAGAGCTCAAAGGAACAGGAGGTACTTAGACCTGGGGTTCCCAGGGGACACCAAGGCTGTGTGAGTATGAGGACCTGTGAGGTCACCAGAGTTGTGTCCTGAGGCTTCAAAGGCCCAGTTCAGAGGACCCAACAGTCACTTCTTGCTCTAGGGCCAAAGAGGAAGCACTCTAGGTGCAGGGTCTGTGTCCTGCCAAGGGAAGGGCAGTGCACTGAGTTCGTGGCTCCCAGGGGCTTGCAGGGGCGGGACCGGAGCGCTCAGCCGGCCATGTCTGCAGGGGGCACCCACGAGGTCAAACAGCACCCTTTCTTCCTGGGCCTGGACTGGGCGGGGCTGCTGCGACACAAAGCCGAGTTCGTCCCGCAGCTGGAGGCCGAGGACGACACCAGCTACTTCGACAGTACGTGGGGGCCCTTGGGGCACCGTGTCCCACAGCCTGGGCCTCGCCAACCGGGCCTCACCCAGGCCTGGAGCTTCCCAGGGTGAGCCCAGCCAGGATCTCCCGAGGAGCCAGACTCAGAGGGAAATGAGGCACCGCCTCCTGGGTGTCAGCCTTGCCCTGGCGTGGCCCGTCTGTCCCACAGGGGCTGGGGTGCGGCCTGTGTGGAGGGAACCCCTTGAGGGTCAGACGCACCCCCGCTTCCGCCAAATGCAGAGTTCCCAGGCCACCCACTGCGTGGCAGGTCCTCCTGCGCGGCCATTACTGTGTACAGTGGACCCTGCTGTGTGCAGCAGCAAGATACGCAGTGCCACCACAAGTGCTGTTTCAAGGGCAAGGAAGCCCCTCGGGAGGCTGAGGCAGGAGGATACTGTGAGTTTGAGGCCAGCCTGAACCGCAGAGTGAGGCTCTGTCTCAGGAAAACAAAAAACAAAACAAAACAACAACAACAGAGATCAAGGGCATGGAATCCAAAGTTCACACACAGAACCCCCGTCCCTGGTGTCTGGAACTCTAGCGGTAGGGACGTGCCCGGAGCTATTCGCAGAAGCCTGCCTAGACGCCCAGCCTAGAGCTTCCATGGTCCCTAGGCACAAGCCGGGCGTGCTTCGGCCCCAGGGCTTCTGCCCGGCCACGCCCAGCCCCCACGCCCTCCCTCTGTCGCCCCACGGCCCATGGGGCTGCCCAGTGACCCTGGCTCACTGCCGCCCGCCCACAGCGCGCTCAGAACGGTACCGCCACCTGGGCTCTGAGGACGAGGAGACCAACGACGAGGAGTCCTCCGCCGAGATTCCTCAGTTCTCCTCCTGCTCCCACCGCTTCAGCAAGGTGCGCGGGCCGGCCGGGCGGGGCGCTGGGTGCAGGGGATGCCACACACCCCCCTCCGCCTTTCCACTCTGTGTGTGAAACACACACAGAACAGACCCTTTCAGCTGCGTTCTGGATTTTTCCTTTCTCTTGAGACAGGGTCTCACTATGGAGCCCAGGCTGGCCTGGAACTCATGGCAACCCTCCTGCCTCAGCCTCCCAAGTGCTGAGATGACAGGTGTGTGCCCCCAGCCCGGCCCTGTTACTTTATCATCACGCTGCAGGTCTACAGCAGCTCTGAGTTCCTGGCCGTGCAGCCCACTCCCACCTTTGCCGAGAGGAGCTTCAGTGTGGACCGGGACGAGGGGTGGGAACGTGGTGGTGAAGGGGACAGTGGCCACCGGCAGAGCACCGAGGTCCGGTAGGTGCCCGGGTGTGAAGGCCCATCAAGCTCCCTAGTCTCCTGGGAGGTGGACTCCACAATCCGATGTTGCTGTACCAGTGGCCCGCTAGAAAAGGGCCAGACTGGTCAGACTGTCAGCCCCGGGAGCTCACTGCCTCGGCTTTGCATTCGTGACAGGGGCATTCGTGACAGGGGCACACATAAAGCAGCTGCACCTTATCAGTGTTTGGCTAATACAACTTCTGTTCATCCTTCAAAACCCACAACCATCAATGTCCCCTAGAGGATGTTAGTTGGAAGGTGTGTTTTGAAGGTTGAATAGGAGTTCTCTGGAACTCTGCCTCTATTGGCCCCCTGGTGACTGAGCATGTGACAAGGCTCCTCCTCCCTGCAGGCTGAGGTCCTGGACATCCTCTGGGTCCTCCGGTCACTCACCGTCACCTCAACCTGAGCGGGGCCCCAGTCCGTTGCTCCCAAGCAACATCAGCCTGGACATGATGCCCAAATTCGCCTTCTCATCTGAGGATGAGGGAGCAGGCCTAGCCCCTCTGGACCCCAAAAAGCCTGTCTTCATCCTGGGGGAGCCTGACCCCCCACCGCCGACCACCCCAGTAACACCCAAACCCTCAAACCTTTCTGGTAGGTGGGGCCCAAGGTGAGAAGAGTTTCCCAGAGGAGGGATTATTTGAGAAGGGTTTTTAAGGATGAGTAGGAGTTGTCCAGAGCTAACAAAGACTTTTAAGTGGCTGCTGAGAGACCTTAAGCTCCTGAGGAGCCTCAGTCAAGGGGTAACACCTCCAGGAGAAGGTTGGGGTCTGGTTAGCCCCCATAAGGGGACCCAGAGGTCCAGTGGGGGCATAGGAGGCAGCCTCTCAAAGGAGGGGACTTGAACAGCTTGGGAAGGGTGTGTGGGGCGAGGGCTTTGTGAATGAAGGCTGGGAGTCCAGGTGTGTGCAGAGCCCAAGGAGGCGACCAGGGGCGGCAGGGGCAGGTGGTGGGAGAGCGTGCCCGCTGACCACGCTCCCCACAGCTGACACGGCAGCCCTCAGCCACGCACGGCTTCGGAGCAACAGCACGGGCGCCCGGCACTCCACAGCCCGGGCCCTGGACGCCGGCCGGGGCCGCCGACTCGCGGCCACCAGAGATCCCACCAGTGACAAGCCCAAGGCCGCGCCAGGCGGGGGCGGCAGCAGCGGGGGCCGTGTGCCCAAGTCGGCATCCGTGTCGGCCCTGTCCCTCATCATCACCGCAGGTACCGCGCAGGGGCGGCCCGGGCAGGGCGCAGGGGCGTGGGACCGCGTCCCCAGGGGGCCACAGCACGTGCACGGGTGCCGGGACCACGTGCGCCTGAGATGCACCGGGACCAGAGCGCTGCCGTGGAGGGAGCGGCGGAAGGTGACCGCCAGCACACCGCTGACGGCCCCTCCCCGCCCCCTGCAGACGACGGCGGCAGCGGCGGTCCCCTCATGAGCCCCCTGTCCCCGCGCTCGCTGTCCTCCAACCCGTCCTCCCGCGACTCCTCGCCCAGCCGGGACCCCTCGCCTGTGTGCGGGAGCCTGCGGCCCCCCGTGGTCATCCACAGCTCGGGCAAGAAGTACGGCTTCAGCCTGCGCGCGATCCGCGTCTACATGGGCGACAGCAACGTCTACACCGTGCACCACGTCGTCTGGGTGCGCGGGCAGGGCTTCCGGGCCGGGTGGGGCGCGTCCCTCTCAGCGTGCGTCCGGGCGGGCGCCTGGCTGCGGGGAACGTGGCCATCCAGGGCCACCGGGCTTTTCTCCGGCCTTGTCGCTTTGGGGACGCTCTCCCCACCGCTCACCCTCAGACCCGCCCCCAGGTTTAGGGAGACTGAGGCACGGCTTGCTGGAAGCCCGCAGTGGACCCCGCCCGGGTGGGTGTTCTGGCTTCGGGACTCAGGCCCCTGACCCGCTGTGTCCCCCAGAGCGTGGAGGAGGGGAGCCCCGCGCAGGAGGCTGGGCTGCGCGCCGGGGACCTCGTCACGCACATCAACGGCGAGTCGGTGCTGGGCCTGGTGCACAGGGACGTCGTGGAGCTGCTGCTGAAGGTCTGGCGCGGGCGGGGCGCGGGACCCTCCCCGGCCACGCCCATGGGGCCACGCTCCAGGGCAGGCCACGCCCCCAGTGGAGCCGAGGACCCCCGGGGAAACCGTCTTTCCCTCCTCTGTACCAGGGCTCGGAGCCGTGGGTGCCGTGGGTGGGGCGCTGAGGGCCCGCTCAGTGAAAAGATGGGTCAGTGGTGGTCCAGTGTCTGCCCCCTCAGTGTGCGTCCAGGTGGAGGAGCCCGGGCGTGGACGAGGCAGGGGCAGACGGGGGCGGGGAGGGCTGGGGTGTGGCTCTGAGCAGATGCAGGCCCTAGTGCCGTTCCTGCAACCCCCAACCAAAACAAGGCTGGCAGGGCAGCGCACGCCTGTGTCCCAGCACTCAGGAGGCTGAGGCAGGAGGATCACCGCGAGTTTGAGGCCAGCCTGGGCCAAATAGTGAGTTCAAGGCCAGCCTGAACTGCACAGGGAGGCCATCTCAATAAATAAAAAATAAAAGGGCTGGGTGTGCGGCTCAGTGTGGCAAAGGCGTGGAGTTAGCAGCTCTGAGGCAGGCAGCGGGTGGGGACACCGCCGACCCACCCTCCCTCGCAGAGCGGGAATAAGATCTCCCTGCGGACCACGGCGCTGGAGAACACGTCCATTAGGGTGGGCCCGGCGCGCAAGGACGCGGCGAAGGGGCGCATGGCGCGACGCAGCAAGCGCAGCCGGCGACGGGAGACGCAGGACCGGTGAGCGGCCCTCGGGACCGGGTGGCCAGGATCACAGGGAGTCGGGCGGCGCTCACTGTGCCCCTGCCTCCGCAGGCGGAAGTCTCTCTTCAAGAAGATCTCCAAGCAGTCCTCAGTCCTGCACACGAGCCGCAGCTTCTCCTCGGGCCTCCACCACTCGCTGTCCTCCAGCGAGAGCCTGCCGGGGTCCCCCACCCACAGCCTGTCGCCCAGCCCCACCACACCCTGCCGCAGCCCCGCGCCGGAGGGCAGCACCAACACAGGTGCCCAGATTAGGGGGTGTAGGATGGTGAGGATGGGGAACAGAGGGAGAAGGGCATGAAAGAAGTGGGGCGGGGCTGGGGATTTAGCTCAGCGGCAAAAGCGCCTGCCTGGCAAGCGCAAGGTCGTGAGTTCGGTTCCCGGTACCGGAGAAAAAC